TATGGTGATGAAAGAAGTAGTTCAGGCTGCTTTGAAGGAAATAGCAAAAAATAAGGCCCCAGGAATAGATGGTATACCAATTGGCATATTTCAGTTAACAGATGCTGCCCTGGACGTGCTCACCAAGTTGTGCCAAGAAATCTGGAGAAGAACCACTTGGCCAACTGACTGGAAAAGATCCCTTGGAATAGAAGTAATAAAGAAATAAACAAGTACATGTGAAAGCAAAATGTGCCATGGGATGAAAAGTAAAGCAGGTTAAAGGGATCAGGAAGTCTTGAGTGGGAAGTAGCTTGTAATTATGAATAAAGTTACTCTCATGGCAATGTTTGAGCAACTGTATGCTAGAGGTGAGGAAAAAGAGATAGGTATCTTTTGCAGGGGAGGCAACTCTTCAAGAACGAACAGCTGGTACAGAGCTTCAAGATCTAGAGTGATTTCAGAATGTTCTGGAAACCATGAGGAGTTCAGTGTATCTGGGACAGAGTGAGAAGGAATTAGGAGAGAAGTAAGAGGTCCAAGCAGTGGGGCAAGTTATATAGGGAATATTTGCTTGATTCTGTCTGAATGAAGCACAATTAACGCAGAGTACTGAGCCCAGGAGTACTGTGATCTGAATATTGAGTTAACGGGATTAACCTAGCTGAATAAGATATAAACTGTAGGGCAGGGTTGGACACAAAAGGTCATCTGGTGTCCTAATGCTGCCATCTAGAAAAGAGCTGTGGTGCCTGAGATGAGGAGAAGAGCGGGTGGGTGGGTGGAAACTGTGGATTCTAGACAAATAGGAAGTTCAATCCACTAGATATAGAAGTCAGGGCAACAACACAAGATAGACAGGAAAGGCAAATCAGTATTTCAGGGCACAGACTACAGAATGGGGTATCAGTTTCTTTTGGAGGCTATAATGGAAATCTGTTCTATGCTTCCCTCTTACTTGCCTCGTGCTTGTTGACAATTCTTGATTTTTCCTTTACCATAGACATAACACTTTAGTTTCTCTTTCCATTTTTTATATGACCTTCTTTGCATACCAGTCTATGTAGCTCTGTGTTTCTAAAAGTCCTTTTCTTTACAAAGGCATGAGTCATTTTATTTAGGATCTTTCTAAATCCAATGTGATGTCATCTTAACTTGATCAGACCTGCAAAGACTCTATTGTCAAATAAGATCATTTTCAGATTTATTATTTCAGAACATCTTGTGGGGATAGAATTCAAGCCCCCAACAGGAATTCACAGATGCGAATGGATACTTAATGAGTTAAGAAGCAAATTTGTTAGAGATCAACAAACAAAACTGCAACTCATAGTGACCCTATGTACAACAGCTCTGAATCCTGCCCTGTCCTGAACCATTCTCACTGACTCCAAAACACCTACCCTCATTGCCTCAGGTACTACTGTATCAATCCACCTCATCCTGGTCTTTCTCTTCTGTGCTGTACCTCCACCCTTTCAAGTATGATGTCCTTCTCCAAGGATTGGCCCCTTCTGGCCACATGCCCAAAGTATATGAGATGGAGCTTCAAAATCCTAGCCTCCAAGGAGAAACATGTTTTCACCCTCTCCAAGACAGATCTATTTGTTTTCTTGGCAGTATGTTCAAGACTCTTCTCCAGCACCACGACTTGAAGACCTCAATTCTTCTTCTATCATCCTTGTTCATTATCTACCTCTCTAATGCATAGTAAATAATTACAAAGACCATGATCTGGATCAAGTGCACCTTAGTCTCTAAGACTGACATTCTCTTAGTGCTCTGGAGAAGTCCCTGACAGCATGTTTCCCCAGTGCAATTTGTCTTTTGATTTCCTGACTGCTGTTGTCAAGAGCAGTTGACTGTGGAACCAAGCAAGCTGTAATTGTTAACAACCTAAATCTCTTCATCTATCATAGTGCTGCCAATTGGTCCAGTGGTGAAAATCTTTGTCTTCTTGATGTTGAGCTTCAATCCATACTGAAGACTAATACAGTCCTTGACCTTTTTCAACAAGTTCTTCAGGTCCTCTTCCATTTCAGCAAACAAGGTTGTGTCATTTGCATAAAAGAGGTTGTTGATGAGTCTTCCTCCAGTCCTGATTCCACATTCCTCCTCATAAAATCCAGCCTCCCTGATGATTTATTGTGAATATAGATTGTAAATATACGGAGACAAGACACATCCCTGACATACTCCTTTCCTGATTTTGAACCAGACAGTGAGAAATAAGGGTTACATATTCCATCAAGAAAGGAACAGATGGGAGTTGAAGTTAGCATGACCATAAGGTGGGCACTAAATCAGGCAGGAATTGAGAGATTTTTTTTTCCCCCTCTAGTATGATAGATGAGCTCCATCTGCCCAGGTTTTCTATATCCAGCACATATAATCTGGAAGAAGTCCTCCCCGAGTTGGGCATAAGGGAAGTCTTCACCTACCACGCTGACCTGTCAGGAATCACAGGAGCTAAAAATATGATGGTTTCCCAGGTAAGTCTTTAAACTCTGAACATCTCATCTTCTGCATCTAAACTCAAATGATGAAGACCAAGGGGACATTTAGGAAATAGGGAAGGCTTGTATGTAACTGCATTTCTTCTTTGATGTCCCTACCTAGCTTCTACCCCAAGACTAGAACAACTGTGCTAGTTAACCTAACTTCTACTACCAGTTTGAATACAAGGTCCAGCTTCCTTTCAATATAATGGAACACAGAAACCTATCCTCACAACGTTATTACTGTCTGATATGAATAAATCAAGTTTTTCACCCGTCACTGTTTTAATCTATAAAATGAAGTAATAATTGTTAGCTGATATGAAGTTCTTGACATGACAGATACTAGATAATAATTGATGGTGCATTTAGCAGGAGGAATCTTTGTAACACCATGTTTAAAAGAAAATTCTTGCTGCTAACAAAAATGTTGGTGGTTCAAACCCACCAGGTGCTCAATGGGAGGAAGATGAACAGTATAATGCCATAAAAGTTTACCTCTTGAAAACTCTATCAAGAAATTCTACTCTATCCTATAGTGGTGCTATGAATTGGAATAAACTCAATGGAAATAAGGGGTTGAAGTTATGTGAATATTATGGTAAAAATGCATTTCAAGCACAGTGGAGACATGGGACCTCAGTATACATGAGTAAGGACAGAGCAGCCAGAAAAGTGGGGCCACTGATCCATACCCCAATCTGCGCCATGCACTCACTCCATGGAGTGCATTAAGATCTGCACCCACCTTCCAAAAGGGACAGTGTATTTGTGAGGAGAGGGATCTAGTAGACCAGAACCAAAAGCCACTTGTTGTTGTTGTTGTTATGTGCTATCGAGTCACCTACAACTCATAGCAATCCTATGTACAACAGCCCTAAACCCTCCCCTGTCCTGTGCCAGTTTCACCATCTCTGACACACTTACCCCAGTTACTCCAGTCACTGAATCAATCCACCTCATAGAGAGTCTTCCTCTCCTGTGCTGTTCCTCCACCCTCCCAAGCATGACATCCCTTTCTAAAGACTGGTCCCTCCTTGCAACATGTCCAAAGTATGTCAGATGAAGCTTCAGAATCCTTGCCTCCAAGGAGCAGCCTGGTTTAACCCTCTCTTGGATTACCCTGTTCATTTTCTTAGCAGTCCATGGTACATTCAATACTCTTCTCCAGCACCACAGCTCAAAGGCATCAATTCTCCTTCTATCCTTCCTAGTCATTGTTCAGCTCTCTGATATATAACAAGTGATTGCAAAGACCATGACCTTTATCATGTGCACTTTAGTCTCCAGAGTGAGACCATTGCTCTTCAGAACTTTGGAGAGGTTCCTAGCAGCAGACTTTCCCATGGCAATACGTCTTTTAATTTCCTGACTGCTGGTGCCAAGAGTGTTGACTGTGAAGCCAAGCAAACTAAAGCTGTGAACAATCTCAATCTCTTCACCATATATCCTGATGCTGCCAACTGGCCCAGCAGTGAGAATCTTTGTCTTCTTGATATTGATCCTTAATCCACGTCTTACTAAAAGTTATTGGCAGCTTCAGGAGGTTTAAGCTGAAGAAGGAGAGAGCCAGAAATCGATGTAGGGTCTTTAAAAGAAGTGTGTGCTTCTCTGTTCGTTCCAGTGGGGCTGGAGTGGATCTGCTGCTCAAAGGTTACAAGGAGGATGTTTGGGGGACATCGCACACTCTGGGCTCAGATAATCTGGATACTGCTGCCCCAACTCTTTGCCTACATCACTCTGGGAAAATCACTCACAGACTCTGAGGTTCAGTTTACACATTTGTGCAATGGAATTATGCAAACCAGCTGACAGGGCTAGAAGATGAAATGACCACATATAATAATCAGCAGTACCATTGGCAGCCAGCAGTAGATGTAATAGATGTGTGGTCAATGTTCTCTGAGCTACCGTAAGCCAGGACGACTGCTTGCTCTCAGCCTCTGCTCCTGCTCCTGGTGATTAACATTCTGGTGTCCCCACAGATGGTGCACAAGGCTGTGATTAATGTTGCTGAGGAGGGCACAGAGGGAGCTACTGCCCAAGGAGAGAAGCTTAACTCTTTCTCTGCAAAAATAGGCCAACCAAATGCCTTGATTTTCAACAGACCTTTTCTGTTGACCCTCTTGAGAGGTGATGGGAGCATCTACTTTGAAGGTAAACTCGTCAACCCTCAGAAAGCCCAGAGCATCCTTCAGAGTGATGGAGCCCCACCCAGCCAAGAATGAGGCCAGCACTTTGTCTGATTGCAGTCTGTCCTTTATGCAGACATGGCATTCTCCTTACCCATCTGCTCATCCTTAGTAGGGCAGCAATGACTGTGTGACAGTGACTCTAAGTGTCTCCTGACATGCACAACAAGCTGTGTGTTCCCTGCAGAGGTTCTGAGGTCTCCTGGGAAAATAAATCAGTTTCCTACTGAATCAGACTGCTTTTTGATGGCTTTTTACACTGGTCTTGACTTCAACTTTTCAGGGCTGCTTATCTTCCAAAGTGAAGCCCCTTGAATGATCACTTAGCCAGCCGAGGGCCCCTGCCTCTCTCTACATGACAAAGTCAATACACTTATAACAGGCTGTTCAATAGTCTGAACTTGTTTGCTTCAAGACTCTACAAGGGAAGCAAAATAAAATGTATTTAAAACAGAAGGAGGAAAGGAGTGGGTGGCCAAGTACAGGAGTTAGTGGTAAGAAGCTATATTGCATATTTAAAAGTATTTAGGATCTCAAATACAGTTTGAATCCACTAGCTTCTCTTCAGGGGAAGGATGGGTGATCTCGATTCATATGATTTACTGCCTCAGAAGCAGGAGTGGCATCCACTTCCGAAATAGCTTGCCTCCGAAAACCCTTGAACTTCGAGAAATGATGAAAGTTATACAAGTGTTCAGGTCTTTAATTCATAGGGTTGCTGTGAGTCATCCATAGCTCAACAGCACTTAACAACACCACCACCAACATAGAGAGAGCTCTGTGGGCCTCATGGGTAGAAAGTGATGCCACCAAGCCAAAGGTGGGTGATTTTAATCTGCGTTCCTCAGGCCTGGTTTTAATTGTTTTTTGTCAAACATTCTTCTAAGTGGTATAGCACTGGTCTGTCCATTTGCTGTACAGAGGTAACTTGTGGTTACTGTGATGCTGAACACTGTGACACTGATGTGTCAAATGAGATAATGGTTACCCATGGTGGACAGTGTTTGGTGGAGCTCACAGATCAATATAAGCTTGGAAGCAGGCGTTCACTTAACGGCACTTAACAACAACAACATATCTATATCTATATCTATATCTATATCTATATCTATATCTATATCTATATCTATATCTATATCTATATCTATATCTATACCTATGTCTCTGTCTCTGTTTCTGCTATCTATATCTATCTCTCAAAGTGTTCCAACTTGATGTCATACAACAACAATAATAAACAAGAAAATGGTGAGAAATGTGAGGGCCTCCCCTCTAGGTGACCCTATAAACCTCTGTGATAAAGGTGTTACCTGAGTCCATCAGGGAGAAGCAAAAAAGGCCAAAGTCTGAGGAGGTGAGACAAGGAAAGGAAACTATCAAAAGCATCTGAGTCCTAATAAAACAATTCTACATTCCTTGGCATTGGAATAGATTGTGTGTGTCAAAAAGGTTTGCATTCAACTGACTATCTAAAAGTGGGCAATTCAAACCCATGCATAGGATGAAGGCCTGATGACCTGCTTCCATGGATTAATGCCAAAAACCATTGCTGTTGAGCCAGTTTCAACTTGCAGTGACTCCACAGATCTGAGTGGATCTGTCTGGTAGGATTTTAAATGCTGTATATAATCTTTATTGAATACAATCCTGACTGCCACTCTTTCTCCTGGAAGGATGTGGCCTGGAACTGCTGGCTGATTAGTTATCAGTCAGGGATTTTATCACTGACACACTAGGGTTTCAAATATGAAGATCATAAAAAAAATACCCAACCAACCACACCCTTTTATTTTATTGACTATTCAAAGGCTTTTTTGTGAATCACAGAAAATTATGCCTAACATTGAGAAGATTCCCAAATACCATAACATTAAATGTACTCATACAAAAATTCTACGTAGGCCAAGAGCTGTTGTATGAATAAAGCCAGTGAACAATGCATGGTTTAAAACCAAGAAAGATATGCATCTGAATGGTATCATTTCCCCCTACTTATCTAAACTGTATGCTGAGCAAATCATTTTAGACACTGCACTTTCTGAAGAATGTGAGGAATCAGGATTGGAGGAAGACTCGTCAACAACCTGTATTACATAGATGTAAAAAACTTGGTTGCTGAAAGTGAGGAAGATTTTGTCAAGAACTTGCTACAAAAGACTGAAGAATACAGCTTTCAATATGTATTGCATCTCAATATTAAGAAAATAAAAATCCTCAGCATTGAGTCAATAGGCAACATCATAAGAGATAGGAAACAGATTAAAGTTGTTAATTATTTCACTTTACTTGGATCAACATCGATGGTAAAAGCAAGCTAGAACTCAGAAGATGTGTTGCATTGGAAACATCTACCCTCAAGTGCCTCTCCAACTGCTGAGGAGCAAGGATGCCAGTTAAAGGACTAAGACGACTCGATCAAAACCATCATCTTTTTAATTAATTCTTCTACATCACAGGCGACTCAATGGCACATAACAACAATAACATACTATGACAGGTGTGGAAGCAGGAGTGGCATCCACTTCCTAAACAACATGCCTCCAGAAACTCTGTGAACTTTGATAAATGTCGATGGTTGTAGAGGGGCTTCAGGCCTTTTGTTCATGGGGTCACTATGAGTCATGCTCGACAGGAAGGCAATCAACAACCACAACATCTGAAAGTTGTTCAATAAGCAAAGATGTCAGATGTATTGATGCTTTTGAATTGTGATGTTGGAGGAGAGGAAACCTATAGACTGTCAAAAGAACAAGTAAGTGTGTCTTGGAGAAAGTGCAACCAAGATGATCCTTAAAGACAAAGATGGTGAAACTCTGTCTCACATATTTGGGCATATTGTTAGGAGGACCAGTCATTGGAAAATGACATCATATTGGGAAAGGTGGAGGGTCAGAGACAAAAGAGGAAGACCCTCAACAAGATGGATTTGAACAGTATTTTAACAATGGGCTTGAGAATATCAGAGATGGTGAGAATGACACAGGATAGAGTAAGTTTCAGATCTGTTGTTCATAGGGTCACTATCAACTCATAGTCAACAGCAGCAATAACCACAGTTGAATAGGGAAAGAAATGTCTATACTCTGTTGTGTTGTCACACTTTCCTGTCTCAGTTCCTTTGATAACTAGGATCAGGCGCTCTCTTTGCCCGGACTATAGTATTTGGGAACCCTTGAGTCTGCAGATGTGCTGGACATGTGCTTGTTACAGGCAGGGCAGTGATCCTCCTCTGAAAGTGAATCCTGCTTCTTTTGTGAAACCACACCCATACCACAAGGCATAAGACTGCAGAAGTGGAGGGAAGACTGAAGAATTCAGCAGTCTTGCGCCCAAGACCTTCATTCCTCAAAGCATTATCTCTGGGACCAATAGTAAATAAAAGTGCAGAATCACAAACTTTCCCAAAAAATATCTTGAATCATAACAGTGCAGATGATGTAGCTGGGACTGGGATTCTGCACGTTAAAGAGTCCCCAAGTGTGTCAATTAGGCGATTGAAATAAGCGAATCACACAATGCCTTCTAGTGGACACTTTGCCGCACTGCAAATTAAATTGCACTCTTGCAATTTAAAGCTTTACCACTAGAAGGTGAATCACCTTTATGTACTATCTCCCAGACACAGGCATCTCTCCTGTCCTAGTCGTGGTGACAGGGTTCCAACTCTGAGGAGCTTATGTCTGAAGAGTAGAACTGTGCTCTATAGGTTTTCAGTGACTGATTATTGGAAGAAGATCCCTGGATCTTTCTCTCAAATTACTTCTAGGTGGACTTGAACTTTTGGCCTCTCAGTTAGCAGTCAAGTGTGCTAACTGTTGCTCCACTTGGGAGCTGCAGATGTAGATGATGTCTTGCTGTGGTTTTGCGTATGGGAAAGCCCTCCCAGTAGCCTTTCTACCTGAACTTGTATAGCTATACACTCCCTTCCAGAAAGGGACAGATATTGGCGAAACACTCACAGAAAGTTAGTGGTAAAATGGGCTTAGAAGAAGACAGAGAGTTTTAGCCACATTCTTCACACACACCTTGCTCATCTGTACTTAGATGTGTCTACAGATTGGAGGAGAAATAGAATAAGTCATAGGAAGAAGAAGGCTTAAACTGGGTCCTGCACTCTTGAATCCCTCTATTCATTCTCACTTGTTTACTGAGATTTAGCTCAAGTGTCTCTGAGTCAACTCAAGCCCATAATGACCTCACATGGGTCATGGAAAACTGTTGATTCCCTCGCCCCCCCAAAATATATCATCAGCGCTTTCTTCCAAAAAACATAGGACCTCTATCTTCATAGACCTCACAATTCCGTTGGCAAAGTAATGAGGGATTGGGCAAAGAACCACCTTTAGCCACACACAGCGGACCTGCTCTGTTGGACATGCTGTAGGTGGGGTAGTAGTGGGGGCCCAGGCAAGTCTCCTGAGGACAGGACAGTAGATGTGAGCAGAATGGAAAGGAGGTGTTTAAAGACATAAGTTTGTAGTGATGCAGAGCATATCAGAGGGGGAAGCATGTGTGAATGAATGCCCAGCAAAGCATGGAATTCAGCATGATGATGGGTGGTGTGAGGACAGTGGTGTGCCAGGGGGTAAAGACAAGAGGCAACATGGCTGGAGAGGAAGGCGGGAGACAGAGAGCATGAACACACAGGTGCATCTAATGACCTTGACCTTAGGAAGGAGAAAGGTTGACCTGTGCACAGTAACATGATGCAGCCTGAAAGTAAGTAACCATAGTTACAGAGCCTCCAAACAAGTAAATTGAAAGGAGCAAGAAATTGAAAGGACAAAGTCGAGGAGACTTCATGGAAAAGGTGAAGTTTATGATGTACCAGGTTTGGTTTGATTCCGAGTGATGAGACTCTTCCTTCTACCATATGGCAAGTATCAACCTAGCCATGGGGATTCACTATACGGTCCTGAGGCTTTTTAGAAAGCAAATATTTTTTTCTGATATGGAGGGTAGGGTGTTGGGGAAAGAAAGAAATAGGGTTTCTGCTCTCCAGGAGTCAGCTGAATCCTGCAAATATTACACCCCTT